TTTTTTTTTTTTTTTTTTTTTTTTTTTTTTTTTTTTCTTTTTTTTTTTTTTTTAAAGGGCGACGGCCTTTAGATATCATAGTTGAACTGACCGGCCCCGGGCAATTCAGAATGGTGATGTTATTCTCTTCATCTGAGGATATCTGGATTCCATCTTGAGTCTATATTTCAACAGTTCAGGGGTGTACCAACTGAGCTAGGCACGTTGGTGTCATTTTTTTTTTCACTTGCCGGTGATGAGCCAACCGGAATGCCGCCCCCGAGAATCGGAGGAGTACGTGTGTGTTGTGTGTGGAAAAGGGGCAAAAAAAAAACAAAACAAAAAAAGAAAACACAGACACACACACGTGTTACTCGTTGGTTTGAGTGTCTTCCTCCACGACCGAGGTCCCACTAGCGAAGAGGATTGGATTGAACGCCTGAATCTGGACGCGTTTGTGCAAAGGTACTGAATATGGAGCTTGAACTGCCTTTACGAATCTCTGCTTGAAACACGTCCAGATTCAGGGGCTTAATCCAATCCTCTTTGCTCCGTATTCAAACCAACGGTCAGAATCAAGGAATGTGGGCCCAAGGTCCCGTTTTTTTCCCACGGATTAAGAGATACCATATTGGCCGTAGATAGAAGATGAAAATCGTCCGTCGTCCAAAAAAAAAAAATAAAAAAAATCGTCCTTCGGGACATCCGTTAAGAGGATTGGAACGATACAGAGAAGGAAGATTAGCATGGCCCCTGCGCACGCAAAAATCGAGAAATGGCCCCGTTTTTTTTATTAAAAAAAAAAAAAAAAGGGATGAAAACCGAAGGCCGCGATTCTGTCTTGATACGACGTGCAAGTGGGACCTTGCCCCGGAGAAGTTGGGACATCATCACCGCATATCAAATACATCAGATCAAAAACGTTTTCTTCTGAGGGTCAATCGTGTCATGAACTACTACCGGGGAGAGGTCCCACGAACAAAGAGGATTGGATGGAATGCCTGAATCTGGACGCTTTTGAGGAGAGGTGCAGGAAATCGAGATTGAACAGCACTTCTGCATGTCTGCGTAAAACACATCCAGATTCAGGAGCTTAAACGCAATCCTCTTTGCTAGTCGGACCTCGCCCCGGGTAATCCTTTCCGAATACGTGGTCTTCGTTTTTTTTTTTTTTTTTTTTTTGAAAATACGTGGTTTTCGGCTTGCTTTTTCTCGTGTGTTTTTTTTTCTCGTTTTTTTTTAGTTTTTTTTCCCTTTTCCTTTCTCTTTTCCTTTTTTTTCACCTTTTTCTCAGCTTTCTGTGTCCAGCTGTGTTTTTTACCGTTGAAAGCGCCGCGCACCTCTCCCCTCAATCCCACAGATACCCCGCGCCCCTTCCCCCCGTCCTTCCCCCTTTCCCCCAAGTCCCCGCCTTCCTGGTGTATTGACACCCCGCGCGCGCGCGCGCGCGTTTGTGTGTGTGTGTGTGTGTGTTTGTTTGTGTGCCCGCGTGCGCGCGTGCGCGCATGTGCGGTAATGCCCGCTAAACACAAGTACATACCAAGCCATGATTATGGTAGATAGTTTCGTTGAACTCTCTCTCTCTCTCTCTCTCTCTCTCTCTCTCTCTCTCTCTCTCTCTCTCGTTTAATGTATTTTCTACTAGTAAAAATGGTGGAACTAAAACCAAATGCTACACACCTGATTTCTTTTCTTTATGTCGCCAGTTGTTTTCTTTTTGACATTAAATAAAAAAATTAAACCGGCCAGGACAACAAAACACACACACACACACACACACACACACACACACACACACACCTGTCTCTTATACACATCTAGATGTGTATAAGAGACAGGGCCGCCTCAGTTAAAATTGTTACCGTTATCCTCCCCGTTGTTTCCGTTATCTTCTCCGTTATCTTCTCCCTTATCCTCTCCGTTATTTTCTCCGTTATCTTCTCCGTCATCGTTGGTGTCCCGTCTAACGGCAAACAGATCATCCAGCTGGCTGTCAAGGCTATTTAGCGGCTCTGATGATGCCTTACACAGTGACGATAGCGCTGCATTCCGGCGTCCTTCTCTCCACCCTCCTCCTCCTCCTCCTCCTCCTCCTCCTCCTCCTCCTCCTCCTCCTTCCCCTCCCCCCCMCTCTCCTCCTCCTTCAACTCCTAACCTTCCTCCAATTAGTGATTTTGCCACGACTACTGTTCTTAAAAGTTTATCCTGTCCAGAGAACTTTCCATGAGCTGTCCCTCCTGCATGATTAGTGTCCTTATCCACGAGGACAGCACAGCAACCGTCAGATCTCGCGGATCCTGCAGATGCCGACGTATCCAGAGGGAATCGGGAGCTTGTCGGCCTCTGGCCGCTGCACCGAAGCGACGAATGCTTATCGCTGCAACAATGACGACTGCTGACAGAGCAAGAGGAGGAGTAGGGGGAGGAGGAGGAAGAGAAGCAGGAGCAGCGGCAGCAGGACAAGGAGGACGAGGAGCACCAGCAGGAGGAGGAGGAGGAGGAGGAGGAAGAGGAGGTGCGCCAAGGGAAGAGTAATCGGGCCTCATTCCCACCATCTCCCCTCTCTCCCCTCCGTCCCCCAACTTCAGGATGACAAACCACCTCCTTTCTCCCTCTAAGTACCGGTGCCCGACAGCCAATGCTCACGCCGTTGTTCTCTCTGCCCCGTATCGTCTCCTGTCTGTGGGCAATCCTGGCTATGCCGGGTCGACCACGTGTTCCGCGGTGAAGACCTCCTCCACGTGTCAAAGCTCTGCAAGAAGGCAAGGAGGAGGAGGAGGAGGAGGAGGAGGAGGAGAATGCAACCACCACTCGGTGACCGTGATGTCGGTCCCGACTTCGGTGCCGGTGGCCTTGTGTATGGCCGCCGGCCAGATGGAGCTGCTGTTCATTTTTTCGTTGACAACAACAGTAATTATGCCTCTGATAGGAAGGGTTGCGTGACGTGGACGATAGACTCTGAGAAGAGAGGCTTGACAAAAAATGCCAATCCCCGCGCAAACACGAATTCGACAAAACGCAGCGAACCGGCTGCCACGTCAGCATCTCCATCACCGTATCTAACACACGTAAATACCGTCGCGAGCTCCTTTCCCTCTCCCTCTTTTTTTTTTTTTTTTTTTCCCCTCTTGTTTTATCCCTCTTTCTCGTTAGCTATCAATACCACGTGGTGACACGTGGCGTTCCCCTCTCTGTTCCTTTACTTCACCCCTTCTTTTTTTTCTCTAGAGGCCACGTGGTGCTCCCTCTCTCTCTCTCTCTCCCCCTTTCTTCTTTTACATCTGTGTTGCCCTCACATGCATAGAGTGTGGCCGGTTTCCTGGGGTGGGACCTCGGATTCTTCGTTCTGGACCGTAGATTCGGAGGATCAACCGCCTCGCTCCACTAAACAACACCGCATATATGTATAGGGACCTCGTTATCGTCCTGATGCATTCAAAATGGTGGACTCTTCGGAAGCCACCTGGTCAAGAAAGCGTCCAAATGCATGTAGAAATTTGGGTAAAGGAGCGAGGCCCCGAAGGGCAGAAAAAACGAAACACACCGTCTGGGAAAGTTGGACGTTTATCCTGAGCGTCGATTCGAACCTCTTTAGTCGTCGCCACCAAGTTTTCTCCTCCTTCCACTTCAACATCCTTCCACATATGGTGTCTGGATAGACCACAGATGGCACGTGGACCTATCATTTTCTGCTCCGAGGGTTATGGTCCGAAAAGGCAGACCGAGCCCCGCTCGATCTTTTTCCGTGCTAAGGGGCCTGCTCCCACTGGCAAAAAAGCAGATCAATCCCCCTTGGTTTTGTTGCTGGTCCCAGCCGTGGGCCCTATCGGCAGGACCAAGAAAGTGCCAGCGGTGTCCCCCTCTCCTTTCCTCCTCCATTTTTGCCTTTCATTTTATTTAGTTATTATTTTTGGCCCCGTTTCTCTTTTTTTACCGGGACCAGGACCAGTTCCGGGGCTAATGCTAAGCCGGCTGGCCCCTCAGTTGGTATAGCACTAAACTGTTAAAGTACAAACCCGCGTTGGAACTCCATTGGAAGCAGCTAAGTAAAACACTGCAAGCCTAAGTCACCTGGGGCCGACTCGCTCCGTGGACCTCAACTGCCATTGGGAGTGGCACGGGTCGTGGAACCGGTGAGAACTAACAAGCATTGCTCAGTTGGTACACATACGAACTGTTGAAGAACATACCTGAGTTCAAACTCCACTGGAAATAGGTAAGTAAAATATGACAATTCGTAATCTCTTCGGACCGGCTGATCTGATGGTGAGGCGTTGAGGCTGCGGTCTACGACTTTTTCCTTGGGGGCTTTCACTAAAACTAGCAATGCTACAAAAGTTTGCCTAAGGGTCACATCCCACTACCCTGGATTATTCATTTTTCACCCTCGATTACGAAGATCAACGGTCAGAAATGAACAATAGGGGCTAGTGGGATCAGACCCTAAGCCTGAGCAGAGCAGGCAGGCCGGGTTTCGCTTCCTTCCGTGATCGAAGGACTTTCAGGTCGTTAAGGTAAACGGTGAGATTAACGCTCACCGTGGAAGTCGACGAAAGCAGCGGGAGAAGGACAGGAAGTTGACAAAGGTAGAGATGATAACCGAGACGACGATAGAGAGAGGAAGGACGTGAGCAGAAAAGCAGTAGGGGCTCGCTTGTTGTGGTGTGAAAGAGCACCGTTTGTTGAGGCACGCGCCATGCTGGTAATGCTCGTCGTCGTCGTCGCCTTCCTGATCCTGGTGGAGCTACTCACCTGGTGTGCGTCGTGGTTCTCGTATGGGCGCTGATCGTCTCCATCAAATGGTCGTGCTCGTGGTCTCCCCCGTAGTACGACCTTCGTCCTCCTCCTTGCTCGAGGGAGCAACCGTGACCTTCATCGCAATTGTTGTAATCGCTGTCATTAAAGTCACTCATGTGGATGGTGTCGAGATCCCGCTGCTTGATATCGTGTACACTTCTTATTGGGCAAATGCACCTGGTCATCCTCCAACATGAGATTCAGTCTCATTTTGCACATTTGGTGAGTGGTGCGCCGAGCGCAGGTTGGGCTTCACACAGCGGAGATAACAGGGATAGAGAGGAAGGGAGGAACATTGTTGGGGTGAATGGGCATGCCTTTCTGCCCGCGCGTGCGGTGGTTGGCTGGTCCTAGTCTCTGCGAGTGCGTTGTCGTGCGCTTATGTCACCCCCATGCCCCTATGCGTGTGCTTTGTGCCCCAGTGCGCTTACCCTTGCGTGCAACGTATCTTCTTATGTTATACCAGAAGATCTATCCTCATTCCTTGTGGTTGAAAGGTAGCCGAACGGGGATACGTTTGCTGCTTGTAATACAAACTTATTTCTTTTCAGGAGTTAATTTAATGGATATTGTAAGTATTAGTTGGGCTTTTCTTATAGTTGTATTTACTTTCTCGTTATCACTTGTAGTCTTCGTGTCCACCACTCGTCCTGATAATCGTGCTCGCGATGGTACTAGTTTCATCTTCGACATCTTGACTGTGGTCCCCTTCACGATCTCGGCATCACGATCGTGCGCTGATCCTGGGGAAGGCCCTTCGTCGCAAGCGATCATATTGGCTTTCGTCACGATACTCACAATGGGCCCCATCTCAGACTTAGTTCGTCATGAAGATAAGATGTATTTTCCCATGTTATAGCGGAAGATCCGTTCTCATTTTGCACGTTTGGTAAGTAATGGAGTGGGGGTCGTGTCAGGTTGCTATGTGCCTCGTGGTCGTCATCGTGATTCTGGCTAGCATTGCTCCTCGTCTTTGTTATCTGCGCCATAGTCATACCGATGGTTTGCCTCGGATTGATCATCATTGCAACTCATCCCGATCGTGACTATCCTCCTGCTCGTTTGTTTTTTCAATACTGATAATGGTCACGTCGATCACTGATGTCTGAGTGAGTGGAGTAGCTGGTTAAGTCGTGTTAGTGCCGAGAGAGAGGGGGAGAGAGAAATGTGAGAAACTCACCTCGCATGAATCTGCTTATATGATAGTTGAAGATTCATTTTCATTTCGCACATTTTGTGAACATTGGTCACTTGGTTGCACGTGTCGTCACACTGCATGCAATATTCGTCGTGGTAAGCTTTGTGGTGATAATCTCCGTCAAGGTAGTTTACCGATCGTTAAGGTGATATTGCTCGTTTAGATGGTGGTTGTTTTCACTCTCGTAACGTCGTCTTGTCTGAGAAATGTCTGTGGTGATCTTCACATTTGAAGTTGTGACCTTCTCCTCGTTACGGTCATCTTCGCTGTTTGTGTGCAGTGTAATACTGTGATAGGGCGTACATGACCAGAATTTTGGGCCAAGTGCATTGGAAGGGTGAGTTGCAGCGGGCATGCGCTCCGGCTGACAAGATAAGGAGTAAAAATGTGAGGTTAGAGGGTTTGACTGACCGATGCTTGCCGTCACGGTCGTGTTTCCCTTTTCAATCAACATCATTCCTTCTTTTCTCTTTATCACGATCGTGTTCACTAGGAATCACAGTCGAACAACTTGGAAACATCTCTACTCCTTGTCGTGATCGAGTTCGTCATTCAACCAATGCATATGATCTTAACGGATTTTATAGGGCATAACAAAGGAGGGGCTTGACTATGCTTGTGATGCTATTTGATTGGTCACGGTTTGTTGTAGCCATTGTGTTATGTCGCATCAAAGTGCATAGCATAAGGGCGTCTTTTAGTTATTGTTTTACCTCGACTATGATAAAATAAAGATTAAAGGAGGCTACATTTTCGATAGACCAGTGAGTTGGAGATAAAAAGGGTGTTGGTGTCAGTTCACTTTCACAATAGAGGGGGTGAGCCCATGCTGCCAAGCTATAAATCTGTATCGACATTAATGATCTAGGTATTTGTCTGTTATTGTGTACGACACATGGAGGCAGGTGATTGGTTTCGTTGAACAGAGGGACGCATATGCAGTAGGGTCATGCGTTTGGGTTGCACAACAACCTATTGTTAGACGTATCAGTGAAAAAAATCACTCTGAATTTTTATTTTCAATAATGTTATATGTCTGTTGCGATAGATGAACGGGTTTTGAATGAGTGTTGTTGTTGTACTTTGGAACTGCCGATAATTTTCAAGCCCGATGTCGTTCTCATTTCTTTTGAATTCAGAGTTGATGTCTTCTGAGTCCTCCAAACTCTGAGTCTACACTGCAGTTCAGTTTGAGTCAATATTATGGTTCTTTGTGACTTACTCTTAAGGGAGTTCGTTTTTTTTGCGAGAACGATGCTATTGACAAGATCGGTGTTAGTGTTGGTGTTGAGCCATGACGTTGTTGTTTTTGCGTAGTGGGCTGGTGCTACAGCACTGCTGTTGCTAAATCTTGGAGTCACGACTACTGCTACAAAAATGTTATCTCATGCAACGAGAAAATGTTGCTACTGCTGCTTTTCTTCAAGATGTCGTTGTTCCTTCAACCCTGTTTTGGTTGTTGATTCAAGTAGCTGCAGCTGCTATTTTGTGTTGGGTCATTATGACCTATGTTTAAATAGAGATTTGGGATTTGCTCTATTTGAACGCAATTTTAGAAGTTGCGTATAAACAACAGTCTATTGGTTTAAAGAGGAAGGCAGAAAGCGAGATTATAAATTCGTTATTCGCGGAAAGACCTTTGTAGGAGGTTCGCCCCATCGATTGTAGGAGCTTTGTAGGAACCTACGGGAGGTTCAGGAGGCAAAGAACTTACAGGTATAATTATTTTCCCTTGCGTGTGCCCATTATACCCTTATCAGTATATCTCTCTACACTGTCTGCTATGCATGTGTACGATCCTTTAAATTTTTGTTTTATTCATAACTTAACCGAGATTAAATAACGAAAGTGCATGCTTAAAGATGATTTATTTTCTTGTTTGAAATCAAACTAAATGATGCACTGGGGAAGGTAGGAGGAAGGTGGTTTTTCCTGCGTTGACTGGGTCTTCAAAGGGTCTGGCATTGTTTCTAAGATGAATAGTCTGATCATTATATTTTGTTTTGTTTTCTGAAAGACCAAGCATTGTTTATAAGATGAATCACTTGGTTGTTGTGTTTCTTGACTTGTTTTTTTCCCAACTGGACAATGTTTTTAAAATGATTGATCTAATTTGTGTTTCTTTAGTATTTTATCGGAACGGTTCTGAAAATCAGGTAATGTTTCTACAACGACTGACATGACTCTATGTTTATTTCAGGGTGGTTTCTAAACATACTTTGGACATTGTTTCTAAGACGATTGACCCAGAGCTCCTAGTTTTTCTTTGGTTCTAAATGTAAGAATTATGTAATGTTTCTAAGATGATTGACTCCATTCTCTGCATGTTTTGTTTATGAGAGAGGTTTAGGCCAAATGAATAAGTAATGTTTATAAGATGATTAACTTAAACTAAGGTCACGCACCTAATGTGAACTGAGAATAAGACTTTCCATATTGAGTATATATATATATATATATATATATATATATATATATATATATATATATATATATATATATATATATATATATATATATATATATATATATGAGCATAACTCGTCAAACTTTCTTTCTAAGATAAATGGTTTGAATATAGCCTTATCACAATAAGAGAGTATGAAATTAAGAGTTAAAACTTAAGGTAACTTGGGCAGATTGAACTTTGTTTCTACGATGAATGACTCAGTTTTGTATTTATATCGAAGACAAAGTGCAGATATATATATATATATAATTTGGTTGTTAAACCACCACTACCTCCGTCACTCTTAGAAAAAATTAAAAAAATGTCCGTTTTCTCACTTTTTTCGAACTTTTCGGATGTTGGATACAACTCTGCAGTCGGGCCTTGAGGGCCTCTTCGAGAAACAAAATATCATGTTCGAGAAGGTAGTGCACCAAGTTGTATACATGCCAAAACTTAGACATTTGTATCTAACCGCTATAAGGGTGAGTTCAAATTTTTATTGTTTAACATAGAATTAATGAAAACCGAACAAAAAAATATTGGGTTTGGACGAAATCTATTTATGATTATAAGCGTATGGTTTTTATGCCTTCTGTAGGAGCAAGATTATTTGCAAAGTAAAAAAAAATAATAATAATAAAATAAAATAAAAAAATAAATTGAGAACACCACAGGAAGTGGCGAGGAAAAAATCAGGTTTTTCCATAATAAAGCCTTACTACGTGAAGTATTGTATGTTTAGTGATTGAAATATATATATATTTTTTATTATCTCAAAAAATCATGTGTATAGTCTGTGGGTAAACTTCCTATTTTTTAATGTTTTCTTAACTTTTTTTTTTTTTTTTTTTTTTTTAATTGGCGTTTGACTAAGAATTTGAAGATGTATCTGAGACAAAAGTTGTTTTTGCTATTATTTTACATAAAATATATATTTTTGGCAAAGGTTTTATTGTTAACTTCAAAATTGCTTTATAGAGTCTATAAAATGTTGAAAACGGCATATAGCCCTATATGCCAGAATTCACTAAAGCTGTTTTTTTACAACTTTCGAGCTGGTTTTATTGGAGCTATGTTTTTTTTGTCAATCTTTTGAGAATGACTTATAGTCCTATAACAGGATCTTTTGAAGCAAGAGTTTTCCTCCACATTTTTAGGATCGCTCGACCGTTTGCTTGATATTTTGTTTTGTCTTTAGGAAGGTGGTCGAAAATATATATATATTTTTTAACCAGAAATAGAAGTGTGAGTTCTATTTTTTCACTCTATACAAAATGTTGGATTTTGTGGTTTTGTATGTTTTTCACGAATCCTGTGTTGTTTGTGTTTTTTGTTTTCGTTTTTTTTTTTTCCCCTTCAAATACCCCTCTAGGAAGGCATGGCGCAATCCACTGGTTGTTGACACTTCGTGGAAGAGGGCATCTCCACACTATTACTTTGCAGAATGTATGAACCCGCTTTCCTGCCATAAGTTCAGTTTTAATTTTGTTTTTCTATCTTATTTCTTTCGTGGATCTGACACTCTTGCCGTAATGCCCTCACTGAAGGCATAGTCACACAACGACTTTGATTGGGTATCTACCAGGTATCAAATTCAAAAGGGTGTTTGTTTTTTTGCTTTATTTATTTATTTGCGAGTGGGTTTTTTTTTTTTTAAGTCAGGCTGTGTTTCGTTTCTTCGAGGAGAGTACCAGAAAAGAAATAAAACCGAACTCAGGCTCGACAAAACTTGGTGCGTAGTGAAAATCAGGGTCGGCAAAAATAGGCTCGAAGGTAGTGGTTGCTTAAATAGTTTGAGGCTGACTAGACATCGTTTCTAAGATGAATTCTCTAGTCGCATGCCCAATGAAGAAACAAGGAGTTGTGCAACCTTTTAGTGTAGAATTTAAGGCATGATGAACATTGTTTCTGAGCATAATGGTTTAGTGTCATGCCACATATAAGTTGAGGTAAAGGGTAAATGTTATGAATGTTCAATGAACTATCCATTGTGTGAAACTAATTTTGTATTTGGTGAAAGACTAACCTTCGTTGCATGTGTATGTTTTTTTTTTTAGTCTAGTCTAAGTTGTTTTCTTATACGTAGTTGCTTTATATGCTCGTCATGTGTTGGAGTCATAGGAGTTAGTTCAGTTTTCGTCTTTTAGAGTTAAGTTTGTTTTAACTTCATAGTTTGTTTTCTATAAATTTTGTAAATTTATTTTCGCTAAAGGAAGTATAGCCGAAATTTTTACAAATCAAAAAAGTTAAGGAAATTTTGTCTTTTAAAAAAACTCAAGTTTTGTCTAATCATATATCTTGCTTAGTATAAGTTTTGAGAGCCTACTCTTTCTTGGGGAAGTGCTGCCATTTTTTTTGCTAATTCAGAGAGTTAAATAAAATTTGACTTTTGTAAGTCAAACACAATTATTTTTGTATAAATTTTAGAAAGTCACTTTTGCTATGGGAAGTGTTGCCGAAATTTATACAAATCTAAAAAGTTAGTTAAATTTTGCCTCTACAGAATTCAACTTTTGTCCTTAAGTTATACCTGACTTTGTATAAATTTTGGAAGCCTACTTCTCGATGGGAAGTGCTGCCAAAATCCTTACTAATTCGTAAAGTTAGACAACATTTCACTTTGTAAAGTCAATGTCTTATTTTATATTTCATATTGAGCTCAGTATCAATT